TTATATGGGAGCTGCAAAGAGTCTAGTTAAAAGGCACAACAGCCCTGTATTTTGAACTCAGGGGACACAAGCATCAACACTCATCTCTCTTACAAAGCAGCCAGGGATGGGGAAAGGATAGAGCAATAAATGCTCTAAGAACCACCCCCCCCAATCCAACACTAAGGATTCTTGGGTGGATGCCCCAAAACAACCTCTGCATTTAGATTTTTTAAATTTTTTTTACTTTATATTTATTATTTTTTCTTATTTTACATATCGATCCCAGTTCCTTTCCCTCCCTCCCATGCCCCCAGACCTCCCTTCCATCACATGCCCCCACTCCACAGGGAGGGTGAAGGCTTTTAGGAGAGATCATCAAAATCTGTCAAGTCATTTGGAGTAGGGTCTGGGCCCGCCCTCCATGGGGAATGTGCTCCCAAAGTCCTTTCATGCACCAGGGATACATTCTGGTTCCACTGTCAGAGGTCCCTTAGATTGCCCAGGCCTTCTAACTGAGACCCATGTTCAGGGGGTCTGAGTCAGTCTAATGCTGGTTTCCCAGCTATCAGTCTGGGGGTCCATGAGCTCCCCCTTGTTCAGGTCAGCTGTCTCTGTGGGTTTCTGTAGCCTGGTCTTGACCCTTTATCTTATCACTCCTCCCTCCCTGCAACTGGAGTCTAGGAGTTCGGCTCAGTGTTTAGCTGTGGGTGTCTGCTTCTGCTTCCCAGCTTATTTGCCATCATAGAGCCCTCATCTAGTAACTGATGGAAACAGAAGCATTTGGGTTCTTATTAGCAGGAAGAGCTAGTTTGGCTGGGTGGATGCTGCATGCAAATGAAGAGTATGTTTTCAGAGTGACAAGCCTGCTCTGGAGGAGGATGCCTTTGCTTTCAAGGACCTTAATGCAGAGGTGTTTCAGACGGACTTAGAAGTATGGATTGTCTCTGTAGCTGAGATTGGATAGGTGCTCATTTTAGAACCAGCTCATCTTGTGGCTAGCCAACACTAAGTGGTTTGACCCCTGTCTGACTTTCCAGCCCTAGGCTGCATCAAAGCCCTTTAGCACTCTAGTATGTGTTATCCTGGATCTTGTTTCTTTTCCCATGGGCTTGTTTTTCTTCTGCTGCTCCTGCCTGGGCCACACACACAAATAAATGCAGGACAGTCACTGTTACACATCTTACTCAGGACTTCTCTTAAAATAGCTCTCCTGGAGGAGGAGCTGATGGCTACTGAGCAGTATGGGTAGCCATCAGTTCTCAGTGTTTACAAACACATCCATCCATTTATTTATCATAACTCAGCAGTTGTTTATGGAGTTGTTGCTACCTGTGGCTGTAACATATTTAGAGGTTGGATTCTGTGTCACTCCTCTGTTCCCAATAGGTGCTCTGTGGAGGGTACCTCCTGTTTCATATGACAGTCTTCTATGTCTGTTTGCTCATGAACTCATCTGTTAAGCCACCTGGGAAATGCATGTTGACAAGGACAAGCAGCTATTAATTCTGTGGTATGTAGCACAGTGACTGATACCCACAGTGGTGTCAGCATATCTCTATGGACTAATGAGAGATCGAGATGTTTAATATATACAGAAAGGCATTTGCAGTTGGTCAAAACACATCCTCAGAGGGTGGATCCATAGTTAATAGGAAATCTTATAGAAAAATTGTACTACTGGGGTTAGCACAAACCACACTGAGTTACAACATTCTCTGCTCGCCTCCTCATCTGACTGTGAGCCCCTTGAGAACAGGAAGAGTTCTGTTTATCTTTCAGATCTAAGGAATAAGCAGACAGCCAATGAGTAGGAAACATCAGGCAAAGTCTTGCTGTCTGAAAATGTCCTATTTACAGAACAAGAATGCTGGGGCATAAAAAGCAAGCTGCAATAATGCAATCCACTTGTTTTGCCAGCCACCAAGGATACCTGGGTAAATATTAGCTAATGTGCAGCCCTTTGCTTGCTATTAAGATTTACTGATTTCAATAGAAAGGGACCTAAAAGCTGGGGCACATTATATAACCTGAGACACCAGTGATAATCTCTAATTGCTCAGTCGTTCATAAATGCACATTGGCTCTGTCTGTGGTTAGATTAAATGGCATGGTCGAAGCAAAGTGGGATCTGCATGACAGCAGATCTACCATGTGACTGATTGGTTTGGTCAGTGGATGGATTTACTTGCTTCCTTAGTCCTCCTCACTCTATCAATAAGCACATCAACACCATACACTAATCCAGTGTGTGTAAAGTGCACCTCCAGTGAAGTCCAGTTTTTCCAGATGAAACCCCATAATAATATCTCTGTTTCTTACATAACAGTGGCTGTTGTATAGAGAGATTAATACAGTGGCTGTTGTATAGAGAGATTAATGTGGTTTCCTGTTTCTTCCTGGTATGATCTTACTCTTGTCTTGCAAACATGCCCCTATCTATGTTTCTCCATCCACCTGTATGAATCTTTGACCACTTAGAAAGGTTAGTACTCGGTATGTTTCAGAAAACTGACTGGAAGATTGATGATAACTAATTGTTTCTAGCCAAAAGTTATTTGGCACGACTTAGGAGAACAGCAAGAGAGCTATAGAGCGTGGCAAAGGAGAGGGGGGCCATGCTGGGATCCAATCCACGTTGGCTGCCCAGGACCTCAGCTGGTGGTTTGTCATGTCTTAGCATGACGGTATTCAAGCCATGTGAGGTTTGCAAAAATATATATATATACCTAGCTCCATGCTTGGTCTAAATACAACCATTTGTGTTAGTTTAAACCACATGACTCCACTCATTAACTGTTGAAAGCTAATCCAAATAGGCATTATTCTAAAGCTTAAGATTCATTAGTAGGGGTCTGAAAGAAGTCAGCTTTACTGACAGCTCCCAACAACACCACTTCCCAGCCTTGCCCACCATGGATACTTCAGATCGGAATGTGTTCAGAGTGCTGGTAAGTGCAGACAGTCCGGGGAAAGCACTGTGGGATGACGGCTACTCCTGTTTTACCCAGGAAACAAATGTTTTATTTTGCTAGCACAGCCATGGTAAACCCAAGCTTATTAGGAATATGTCTTCACTTTACAGAAATACCTTTCACCTTCAAAGTGAAGCAAATTTTAGAAAGGTTGGAGAATGGTGGAGGGGTAAAAAGCTTGGCATTTGGTGCTTCAGAAATCATCTTGAATTCTAGTATGTGCTGAAGAGTATGTGGCTTCCATGGGTAATGCTGGGCTTAGAGCAGGTAACAGGTGAGAGCCAGCCTGTGAGAAAGGCAAGCTTCTATAAACCTGGGCAGGAGCATCTGTCATCAGAGACTATTGGCCAGGTTACACCTAAGTGCATGAGCAATGGGAGGGAGTAACCTGGGAAGGAGCCTTTGCCCTGTGTGTGCTTTATCTGGGACCACTTTAGTCTGACTCTTGGGGACATGAGGTCCCCATCAGTGAGGGATGGACAGAGGTCTCTGAGTGTGTGCAAAGCGTATGTGACTCTTGGCAACTCTTTCTTGTTCTTATTTTTAGAGCCTGGTCTTTACATTTCAAACCACCACTATGGCTGTGTATTTCCTCTCACTGTTTCTGCTTGGTGCAGGCACTTGCATTTTCACCTGGGTTAAAGTTGGGAACAAGATACTGAAGAATATTGCTTTTGTTTAAAACGTGTCACTAAGCTGGTTTCGCTTCCTAGTTCTTATGAGCAAACACATTTTTCAAGGGGGATTTTGAAATCTATTTTAAAAATATGTTTGCATTTAATAAAAAAAAAAAATACCACAAAGGCAGTGCTAACCACAATGGACACACCTTGATTTTTTTTTTTTTTTTTGTTTTTGGGGTGGGGGAAAGGAAGAGTATTCTAGGCTTAAGACCCTTGAGTTTCACTGCTATTGGCTGTTTAGGGGAAAGCCCCATCACTGTTTTGCTGGAAATCTGTCTCTCTCTTCCTCTCTCTTTTTCCCTCCCTCCCTCCATCCTCTTCTCCCTACCTCTGTGCCCCCCACACCTGTCCTTGAAAAGAAACCAGACATTGTTCTGCAGGGCCTTATCTAGTCACTGAATTATCCCACTTATGCTGAACTAGCAGGTGAGATCTAGGAATGAGTTAAACATGGTTCTACCTTCAAAGAACATATGTAAAGTCAGTGTTCATCAGCTTGGAGCCCAGTTGAGGGAGTGTGGAATGCCAATGGCTACCCTCATTCTGTTTCTGTTGGGAATCTTGGTAGAATATGGGGAGTGAGCAAGGACAGCATGTAGATCCTCAAACAGGCTGGGAGATGACTTGCTGGGCTGTGAGCTCTGCTAAAAAAGTCAAAAGGAATTTAACCAGTCCTGTCTTCAAGTGTTTTAGGGAAGTACAACTTTAGGATAGAGTATTTGACATACGAGCCAAAACATGAATGGGGTTGTCCCAGAATGAAGGCAGTGAGTTGGTGGGCATGGGTTAGGAGTATGACTTTGGAGAAGTTATGGAAACTTTTGCAGCCTTAGTTCCTTCATTTAAGAAAGAAAGGAACTAAAATGGGTCAGGACGTCTCTTGATGTATTGGTAGAGCAGACAAGAATTTAGGGGATATATGTATATATTGATGTTTGCTTTTTTCAGTTTTTTTTATATATCACAAAAATATGAATCCAAGCTTATGATTTCATAAAAATTGTGTAGCAACAGGTTAAATTTTAATGCAGAGGAGATGATTTGCATGATTATATCCAATAAGTAAAAGTGCAGATTATAATGGATAACTCCATTTTTTTAAGACCCTATGGACTGATTGAGGTCAGGAAATACTTGAACATGCTAGCTGTGACTAACTTTCTACTTGGTGTCTTCTCTTCTCTCTATGTGACATAGCAGCTATGTCACCCATAACAAACTAGTTGGTTTGTATTAATGGTTAACAAACCTGATGAGTTGAATGCTCTTTTTAGAGATTGCAAAGTCTGTATATGTGTCACTTCCATCATCACTGTTACAACTGTAATCTTACCCCTCCCCCACTCCTTTGATGTGTTTTCAGATCAGGGCACTGACAGAGAGGATGTTCAAACATCTTCGGAATTGGTTTGTCACTCACATTTTTGGGCATTCGCGGCAACGAGCAAGGCTGGTCTCCAAAGATGGAAGGTGTAACATAGAGTTTGGCAATGTAGATGCGCAGTCAAGGTTTATATTCTTTGTGGACATCTGGACAACTGTTCTTGACCTCAAATGGAGGTACAAAATGACCGTGTTCATCACAGCCTTCTTGGGGAGTTGGTTCCTATTTGGTCTCCTGTGGTATGTGGTAGCCTACGTTCATAAGGACCTCCCAGAGTTCTACCCACCAGACAATCGTACTCCTTGTGTGGAGAATATCAATGGTATGACCTCAGCTTTTCTGTTTTCTCTGGAGACTCAAGTGACCATAGGTTATGGATTCAGGTTTGTGACTGAACAGTGTGCCACTGCCATTTTCCTACTTATCTTCCAGTCCATTCTTGGAGTGATCATCAATTCTTTCATGTGTGGTGCCATCTTAGCCAAGATTTCTAGACCCAAAAAACGTGCCAAGACCATTACATTCAGCAAGAATGCTGTAATCAGCAAGCGTGGTGGGAAGCTCTGCCTCCTCATCCGAGTGGCTAATCTTAGGAAGAGCCTTCTGATCGGCAGTCACATATATGGCAAGCTTCTGAAGACTACCATCACTCCTGAAGGAGAGACCATTATTTTGGATCAGACCAACGTCAACTTCATAGTTGATGCTGGCAATGAGAATTTGTTTTTCATCTCCCCGCTGACAATCTATCACATCATTGACCACAACAGTCCTTTCTTCCACATGGCAGCAGAGACACTTCCCCAGCAGGACTTTGAATTAGTTGTCTTTTTAGATGGTACAGTGGAATCCACCAGTGCAACCTGCCAGGTCCGCACATCATATGTCCCCGAGGAGGTGCTTTGGGGCTACCGTTTTGTCCCTATAGTATCTAAGACCAAGGAAGGGAAGTACCGAGTGGATTTTCATAACTTTGGTAAGACTGTAGAAGTAGAAACCCCTCACTGTGCCATGTGCCTTTATAATGAGAAAGATGCCAGAGCCAGGATGAAGAGAGGCTATGACAACCCTAATTTTGTGTTGTCAGAAGTTGATGAAACAGATGACACCCAAATGTAGCAGTGGCTTTTTCACTCACAAAAAGCTTAGCATGAACCTAATGGCTAGCTGTGTTCTGAAGCAACCAACAGTTGGGGGAGTGAATGCAGGATGGGAAACTGCAAAGTCTACCAGCATAGACACCTTTGAACCCCATGGCTATGACTCTACAGGACTCATAGCTCTCCAAGGCTGCAGTAGTAAGCATATGATGGACACATATGACTTAAACAGGCTGTGGAAGCCATAGGAACTCACTTGGAATCTTCAATATGACTGTGTGAGCTCATACAGTCTTGATGGAAACAAAGTCATCCAAGGTCACGTGGACATGCAATGGAGATACTTCTAGAAGACTCCTGGAAGATGTTAGGAGCTTTATATAGCTTCAAGAACTAGCCATATTTCCCATTTGATTCTATGGATTAGAAAGTTGCCACTTTCATCTTAAAACAGACTTTTATCAATGGAAAAATCTGTCCCCTGAGTTGGGGGAAGAGAGCCAACAAATCATTGACAATAAGAGACTGTCATACAAAGAAGGACAAAGGCTCTAACCTCAAGCTCTTGTGTTTGAAGCCTTCATCTGAGTCTGGATCACATGTTTCAGAAGGGGTAAAGTGTCATCCAGTAACTCTGCGTCTCTCTGAGCCCAAGGTAAAAAGGAACAGGAAAGCCCCAACAAGCTTTGTGACATCCAAATGCTGTGGTCCATACAGAATTTGGCCTGAATGATTTCCTGTGGTACATTAAACAGAAGACCAAGTCCATTCTCTGGATGCTAAATAAACATCCTCCTGGAAAGGAGGATGTTTGAGTTGAAAGTGTTGGTGATGAACCTGGAGAGGTGGCTTAGTTTGTAAAGAGCTTGCTATGCAAGCATGAGGACTTGGGTTTGGACCTCCAACAACCACATACAAAGCCTGACTTGGTAGCATGCCCTATAACTCTAGTACTGGAGATGTGGACAAAAGAGGATATCTGAGGCTTGATGGCCAGTTGAATGGGTGAGGTCCAAGTCCAAAGAGACTGTTTCAAAAAACAATGTGAAGGGGCTGGAGAGAAGGCTCAGTGGTTAAATATACTGTGGCTGTTGTTCCAGAGGACCCACATTTGACTCCTGTCACCAAAATGGTGTTTTATAACCATCTGTAACTCCAGTTTCAGGGCATCTGATGCTATTTTTTTTTTTGGCTTCCATGGGTACCAGGTGCACATACATGCAAGCAAAACACATACAAATATAATAAAAAAAATAAGGCAGAGAATGACTGAGGACAAAATCTAATGTCAACTTTTGATCTACTGATCTACACACATGCGCACACAGGGTGGGGGAGATCTGTGGTAGTATTTCTTTTAATAGTCAATGGATGGGTTATAGGGCTACAGGTCCGTTAAAGAGAGTTTTTATTCCTTGTTCTTTCAAGATGACACTGACTGTGAAAGCAGTCAGTCTGGGAGTGGGTGCGATGCTAACCCTGAACAGTTCTTGTGTTTCTCTGCTCAGTGCTTGAACTGAAACTCTAGGTACAAAGGAGGAAGGAGTGAGATACAGCCTCACAGTCTGGATGCTGCTGTTCTCTTGCCCCTGAGGGCCATCCCAACATCTTCCAAAGGGAACCATTCGGCAGGAGAATTCACTTCCAAGGAAGGTTCTAATGTGAATGTCTTGTTTGTTTGTTTCCCCACCTGTATTATTCTGAATGCACTTTGAAAAATAAAGTGGAATTCAAAGTTGTTAAAAAAAAATCAGAGTATTTTCAGTATGTGATTAATAAACTTCTGAAACTGCATGAACAGAAAGTGTCACCTATGCATTAACTGTGACAGGATGATTGAAGAAAATGTTCTTGCCAAGGTAGACTTTCTCCTGGAGGGGGTGAAAGCTGCTGGATGGAGGCAAACTGCAAGCATTTGTTGTCTAGACTTCCTAGGAGGAAACAAGCTAGGTTTCAGAATGCCCGTTTTGTGTCAGCTAGAGCACGTCTCTCCAGCATGAATCTTGGTGAAGAGAAAGACAACTACAAACCCATTTCAGTAGAGATAGCTTCGTTTTTCTGGATTAGGGGTTGAGTTTGTACAGATCTATACACACTCAACACTTGTCATGGTCCTGTCAAGTGGAAACCGATGGGGTTATAGCTGCACACCTTGTCAGTGGCCACAATGGAGAATACATCTGGTCGACACTGAAAGGTTATTCTGTTCTTGTAAATCTTTGAATCCACATCATGATTTGCTGACCGAGCTAAAAGAAATCAGGTATCATAAGCCCAGGGGAGCTGGAAATCTCTGCTGGCCCATGGGCAGGAGACCTTACCACCCTGCAGCCTCTTATAAACCAGCAGGAATGGTATTGATTGACATCACACAAACAGAACATACTACTCTGCTCTCTTCTGCTCCCTGGCAGTGTTCTTGGGGACTGCAGGGAGTGCTTAGGAGCAAGCCATCTCATTGAATGTTGAGGGAATTGAGCCATGCAACTCTCATTGGTATGTTTCTGGGTTGTTTCTAAATATTCCTTTTTCAGAACCTGGAAGCCTGCATTTGCAGTCTCCTTTTTAGCTAGACCCATTCCATACATAGCAAAAAGCTCGCAGGAAGTAGGGATCTGGGGAAGTCAACTCTTTGGGGTTCTCAAGAGTACTTGGGGCTCAAAACCAGAATTATTTTACCCCAGGCACTACAGAAAGAGGGGTAACAAGGGCACAAAGATCAGTGAGGAAAGAAAACAAATGGGAAGCTGAAGGCATGGGCAGGTCAACTGGGTTGTAGGTAAATGCCAGGGTGAAAGGTCAGCTCTTTGTCCTAGCACAGAAAGCCTTTCCCATGTAGGACCTGACCAACTTGGAACTGCTATTACTTATTAGCATGCTGTCTTACTATATTTGCTGTTTACCTCATTCTGCATTTTTTAAAAAGAAAAACTGCATCCTATTGTAAGGACTCATGCATTATGCTGGCCTGCCCCTGTCACCTGGCAGAATGAACTCAGGCAGTACCCTGGTCAACCCAGGGTTTCATGGGTCTATAGTCTGCATGCAGGTGCAAAGGACCCCTTTAAAAGAAAGACCCCCATCTACTTGTGCTCTCTTTCCTTCTGTTCCCCTGGGGCAGACTAGACCTTTCCTGTCTCCCTCTTATCTTCTGTCCTTTCTCTGTCTCTGTGTCTCTTTACCTTATTTTCTTACCTTCCCTCAATAAAACTTTCAATATGAGTCTGTTTCCCTATCTGCTTGCCATCCATCATCTGCCACCCCAAGACTGCAATCTTCATGGTCCAGGCACAGGTTCAGGAACCTGCAACCTGCAGTCTCAACCAATTATTCTTTATTCCCAACACCTATGGTACACTGCTATATTCAAAGTTTTCTTTGGTGCTGATCCTTCTTGGCTTGCCCAATTTACCTCTATTGATATAGGGATATTGACATAGAGAGTTGGATTCCATTTGAACTTTCCTAGTTAATATTTAGAGCAAAGATTTGGGTGGCTAAAAGGCAGAAAGAAAAGATGCCCCCAGTCATAATGAGATGATCAGAGTGTCCATTTCCACCATTAAGAATATTAGGGATAAACTTCATGGATTCATGGCAGGAAGGCTTAGGCCACACCCTTTCTGGAGGTTTTTCTTAAACTCAGAAATGAATCTTCATCAATGCTTCTATGACTGGTATGGAGACTCATCCCTTTCTAGAACAAACAGTAGGGAAACGTCTAATGGTAAGAATGTAAATGAACCCTAGGCCCCACCCCTGGGCCGTTGTTGTCCACCATTACAGGAAGTATGTGTCAATCAAAGCTTGACAGGGGAGATAGAGCATTTTATTTTGGAAGCCAGAAGTTTAAGAACAATGACTGGAATTTCCTCTTTCTGTCCAGCAAGGGCTGCATGTCACTGGGGAGATAAAAGTCCAGGGGTAGGGAATAAAGGTTATCGGGAACTGCGCAACACAGAGTCATGTGGGGGGCATTCAGGAGGAGGGCTTCGGGAGGAAATCTATCTCAATGTCTGTCATTAAGTTTCCATTAAAAGAACATTCGGTTAGGAATTCAGAAATAATTTAATCTCTCCAGCCAGATGCACACAGCTGGACTCTTGGAGAGGAGCCCTGCAGAAGGGGATTTGTACTCACACTGAGCTAGGAACTCACATGTGCCTCCAACCAGCCTACCTTTGAATGCTCAGGACTTTCTAGACACAAGCACCCTTTAGGCAGGGAGGCACACAGCACAGGGACAGTTACTAGGTATTTACTTGTTTTAAGAATTAAATACACCTTCCCCTTTTAACTTTCACAAGAGCCTTGTGAGGTCAGTACTATTATGTTTATTGTTTATGTGAGTCATCTAAAACAAGGATCTTGTCCCACATCAGTAGCTAGCAAAGAGCAGGCTGGGAGTCAGACGCAGTCAGTCTAGCTGAGCAGCCCATGAGTTTATTAATTCATCCTCTCTGAAGCCGGAAGTAGATCTACTGCCTTCTGAGAAAACTCACAGGGCCATCAGGTATTGACCTGGAACCCACAGACAATACATGATCTTTGCCTGGCTGTACACTTTGGGAGAAGTGACTCAAGATTAGCATATGTGAAAGCCCCTGACCAAGCTTTATCTATTTTTTCACCCCCTGGTGCTGTAGGTATGCTTAGTAGAACTCCAGGACTTCTGTAGGTGTTCTGTAGATTTGTCTCACTTGTCAGTGCAAATTGTGCAACCCATTGCATTTATATGTGTATACATGTAAACATATATTTAACATTTATGTGCATTGAATATACACACACACACACACATACACACATTGCAAGTGCTAGGCTTTCTATAGACACACATACACCCCCCCCCACACACACATTTTATTCCATTCTCTAAGGCAGAAACAGATAACATTCTCATTCTAACCAAGACAGAAAAGAAGTTTTGGTTATGTTTAGAGATCAGGATCTATGTTCTCCAGGATTTATGTATTTCTCTATATACTCCCCTACACCATCAATAATTTGTTTAATGAGTTAAG